GTTTTCTCGCACAACAAAGAATAAATTAAGATATAGGGAAAAAAATTTAGAAAGTGTTAGAACGAAAGAGAAAGGGGAAGACTTTCTATACAAAATGTCCGAGATAGTATCAAATACTGAGCAATATTTTTCTCACATATATTTTGGTTTGCTTTCGTTGTTTATGTTTTCCCGAAGCTGGATCTTTATGGATACTATGCCTGCAGATTGTGATTTCGCAGTTGGTTATCTGGATGATACATTAATTAAAAGTATATCTAACGAACAACATATTGGGAATGTGAAAAGAGATTTTGAAAAAAATACAAGAATATTGGGGGGGGGGTCAAACTTAATGAGGAAAAGAGTGAATTATTTTTGCCTAAAATCAAGTACCGAGGACAAATCATTGATAAAAATGGTCGTCAATCACATCCGTCGAGGGTAAATGCGATTAAGGATATATCTCTTCCAGTAAACGTTACTAGGTTAAAAGCATTTCTGGGACTAGCAAAATATTATCAAATCTATATACCTAATATGCATAATTTGAGAGTTCCACTAAAAAAGTGGCATTAGCAATAATATATGCAGTGAAAAACTTTCATAAATTTAAACACAGAAGTGCGTTTCGTTTACAGACGAACTACCGACCTCTATTATCAATTATGGTTCGAATAAAGGAATTCCTATGCATACAACGAATAGATTACAGCATTGGAGTACCATCTTATTAAATAACGGTTTTAGGATAACATACCAACCGTTCAAAAAATTAGGACATGCTGATGATTTATCAAGATAGAAAAAAATACTGAACTGTCTAACGACACTGTTATTGCAGCATTAAAAAGTAAAATAGGAATTTAAAATTTATGCAATGTAGCACGCGAACTACCAGTTACACTGGAAAAATAATATTAAAACAGAACAAGACATGCTTATTTCAAAAATAAAAAATAGACTAAAACAAAGTAAGAAAAATAAAAGATTTTAGAAGGAAATCCAGACTTGACCGCAACTCGCTATATGACGGACTACTGATATTTGCACAAAGAGTATTAATAACTCTCATATTACAAAAATAGGTATTAAATGAATTTCATCGTGGACATCATGGAATTTCAAGAATGAAATCTCTTATGAGAAGATATGTATACTGGATCAAAATATTGAAAAATCAATAAAAGCCTAAACAAGTTGTACTCTGACAACAAAATCACCTACCATGAAATTACAACCTTGGCCAAAGACAGATACTCCGTAGTCAAGACTGCACATGGATTTTGTAGGTCCAATAAACGGATCCTATTATCTTGTGGTAGTGAAATTTGTAAGTGCAAAAAAAAAAAACTTCCACAGTAACAGTAAATATTTTACACGAACTGTTTGCAAGATATGGCATTCCGAATGCTATAGTCTCGGATAACTGTACACAATTCTCTGCCTATGAATTTAAAGATTTTTTTTAGACTGTTCTCGCCGTAACATATTACTACTCCGCCGTATTAACCAAGGTCCAACGGACAAGCTGAACATCATCTTTAAAAATAGATAAAGGTACAGATAATTATATATGTCAATATTAGCGAACATAAAGTAAGCTCTCTTTCTCTTTCACCCTCTCTAGCTTTCTCTCTCTCACTCTATCTGTATATATATATATATATATATATATATATATATATATATATATATATATATATATATATATATATATATATAGGATTTGTGTGTGTGTGTATATGTGCGTGTGTTTTATAACCTTTGATCTAAATTGGGCAAATACTGCAATTAAAAAAGTCCCAATCAAAATGTGTTCCCAATTTCATTATCTCGATAAGCCTGTGTTTATTTTTGGCCCACACTAGCCAAATTCCTACGTCATTTTGTCTTTCTGCGTCTATTTATCAAAAATTAACTCTGGAGCCTTTACCAATTCCGAGCAAAGATAACTAAAGTGGTTATTAAGCAGCAACTTCAAATTCTACGTCTTGAGACGGCGTTTAAAAAATTCCAAAAACACTTCAAAGGCCGTGTTTGTTACATAGCTGTCAGTCGTCGCTTCGTACGAATATTATTGTTGAGGACCTTATTATTACGAGAACTGAATGATACTGAAGGGATTTGTCTGCTCTTATTATTCCACATGTGTTGCTGCGGTAAATCGAAATCATCAAAATGCGTTCTAATCGAGTGAAAGGTAGTTCGAACGTCATCAACAAAATGGCTAGTCTATTGTCATGGATGCAAATTTTAAAACTTAACAAGTCTTATTTTTAAATATTTGTACAATATTTATAAACTAATTAATAAAGACTATAAAAAGAAGTAGGGAGGTTTAATTGGCACATGTAAAAATTAACTATATATATATATATATATATATAAAATTACAAAGCAACATGAAAATGTTTAAATATATGCATTACATAGAAATATATTTAATATATATAGTAAAAACAAGTCAAAATCAAAATATACGGATTATATACATATAATTAGAACAACATAAAAATAGAAATGTATGCATTTGATATCAATTAATATAGTTTATATATGATTGCAAAGCATGTTAAATTTAAATATATGTATATTACCCCACACATACACGCGCGC